AAACACTGTAGCAACACGACCACATACAGCTGTTGGACAGCACTTTGTGTATGAACATTTCTATGAGACACAAGTACACAGAAGTGCTAATAAACAGTATAAACTAACTGTTGATACCCCGACAGCCATCTTGGATCACAAAGTCGGGGTAGGGCGGTTGTCCTGACTTTTGAAGTCGGGATAGGGGGTGTTACCTTTGAAATTTTAACCTTTGAACTTGGAAATTCCGACTTCCCATGTCAACTGGAACGCACCATAGGTCCATGGGAAGAGTTCATACCTAGGTGTGAATTCCTGGAGGATTGTGGGAAACTGAGTTCAGTGACTCAGTTTCATAACAAAAGTTCAGATAAGGTCACACAAATGATTTCATCTGTAAAGTCCCTGCGGTCCTAACAAATTTTTGTTGTGGCAGTCCTCCAGCCAAAACTCAAAACTCAAAACACAGAATAAGAACCTGCAATCACTGTCAAGTTGAGTCTTATGCTGTAATACACAGACTAGCAGTACACAATAACTAACTAAATAAATATTTCAATATTTTCGGGTTGTTGGTAAGCCCCTGTCATGGTTGAAACCACAGGGATAAAAGAAAAGGCTCATATTTTGTTTTCAGAGGAGAACACAATACACACATTTTTTATCCATGACCCAGAATATATATACCGTCTGTCAATCTACCTGTAATTTAATATGGCCAAAAAATACTGATTGGGCCTTGGAATTTATTTAAACCATATTCTTGTTAACATATTACTTCTTGGTGATCTAGAAAGCTGTCTTTCGTTTCTCCAAAGCAGTTAATGGCATACTTAGCTTAATGCTTTTTGCCACACTTTGACTCATTTCCTTTGTAGGAGCCTACTGTTCACTGATAGTTAGCCATTCATTGCCAGCAGCTTCTTTTTGTCATCTCGGTTGTTGTTGTACTTAGCCTCACACTCAAGGCTACAATTACAGTCACATACCTTGTGGTGCTTTGTTGCACAATCGGCTAATGAGAAATTCACTGTCTGTAGTTTCATGATATAAAGAGCTTCTTTGCTTTTAGTGTCTCAGCTGTGCAATGTGTGGCTCTGCTTTTTTAGCCACACTCTATTATTGTTGGCTTTTTAACTACAGTCATTTTGCTTGGTCTGATATCAAACCTCAACATTTCACTGGGTTACAGAAATGCTCTGACTCTTCTACAAGGCATTAAAACATGTGGTCCAGTGCAGCACTTACCATAAAACTAACCAGATATTATTGGTAGCTTGCTGTACAATGGGCTAATTAGGCATTTAGTCTAGAAAGAGTTTCCTGCTGTAAAGAACTAATTTTCCCATCCACTCATCTACAGAACAGGGAGTCATAATTAGACCAGCACTTTAAGCTACATAGAAATCAAACCTGCATTTTGGTTTTAAGTACAGTTGTCTGATTTACCATTCAGATCACTGCCAATGATTTTCATCTAAAAAACACTTTTACCACCATCACTTCTCATTTGATGTCATACCCTAACATTTATCAGCACTATTCTTGTTAGTGCCATAACTACATTTTTGCATAAAAATTCTTTTATAAAGAATTCGTGCATAGAATAAGCATTACTATTGGAGTATAAAGAATTACGTGCTAGTATATCTTGCTATACACAGTGCTGTACTGTGCAGAGCTGCTGGATACAGTTTTAAGCAGGATTCAGTTGATAGAAAATGCCTTTATCAAAGGAAATACTACTTAGACTAAATAAATACCTGCAGCACACAGGTTCGCCAGCGGTAACAGCTAATAGTAGTAAACTATCAGCGGATGTCCATGTCTGCCATTCATTCAGTCAGTCAATCAAAAGGTCATTAAGTAAAGGACCCCCCCCCCCCCCCCCCACACACACACACACACACACACTTACCATGTCACCAATAATTTGAGTGGGGACGACATTCTCTCTCCTCCTCAGAGACACACACACGCACACATGCGCACACTCACATACTGTGTCAGTAGTCATTATTTAGGCTGACAGAGGTAGATTTATACCCTGAGCTCTTTCCATAATTGAACAGTTTTCGTCTCTCTGTTTCCGCCTCACCCTGCTCAGTCAGCAGCTTTACAATGAGCCCTGGGGCCGATGACTGTGTGTCTGTGTGTGTGGTTGAACCAAATACTTTTTCAGTTTTTCAGTTTGAGGTGTGTGTGTGTGAGAGAGAGAGAGAGAGAAAAAGGGTCGTGGCAGGTTGCTGTTACTCCGTGATGTCCAAGATGACCCATCTGCAGAATACAGATGTACAGGTTGTAAAAATCTTTATGTTTAAAACATGACTGACGATCACCCTCGCTTTTCCCATACAGACTAAACACGCTTCTTGATCGTATTTTAGTTCAGCAGATAAAAGAAAGATTTTCTGTAATAGCAAACTTTTTTTGCAAAAAATAACTACAATTTAAAATTAATTTAATTATAAATTAATTAATTTAAATTATTTTACTGACCTTTACAGTTGCTCCAGAGTGGGCCCTGATGGATAGAAATAAGTGGGGGTAGGAAGATGATGAAGAGGATGAGGAAAGGGAGAAATAACAGGAGAGGAGACGATAAACAGAACAAAATTGAATTAGATGGGTGGAGAGGAGATGGAGTTAGAAATTGGAAGCTGACAGGAGCTGTGTGTGGTCAGCAATTTGGAAAATGGTGGTGGGAGGTCAAAAGGGTTATATTCCCTTCTCCATGTCTCTCTGCCTATCTCTCTCTTTTTTTAAATCTATGTGTCCCTGTCTCTCTCTCTCACTCTCTCATTTCAATTCCTCCCTCTCTCCCCTCCATATGGGGGGGCTAATTACAGTGTAAAGGGCACCAAATTAAAACAGTTTAATGTCAGCAGCTGGTAGCTACTTATCCAATGTTAATATCTACTTCTGTGTGTGAAGGTGTGTGCGTGTGCTCGCTATGTGTATGTTGGGACGGCAATATGAGGCCACTCTGTTTGGGCTTACATAATTCTGCTCACTTTCACTGTGAGCAGACTGTGTTAACAACTCAATAAGGTATGCACACACACAATGCACTTTAGGGGAATGGATGCTGCAGTGAACTCAAAGCTATTAGCAAAGGTTAAGAGTTCACCCTAAACAAGACACACTCACACACAAACGTACAGATTACCAAGTGAGTCATGGAAACATCTATAACAGCCAAACAAGCAGTGAATCAACAGTGGTCTCAGATTTACTGAGCTGGTGGTTAGAACTGACATAAAATAACACAAGACAGAGTTACAGCACAGAGAGGAGCGTTGAAAGGTTCAGAGGAGAGCGAGAGATCGTAGGGAAAGGGGCAAAAGAAAGAGACACAATCTTAACAAAGACAGAGAAAGATCCGCGGGCAGGGAAAAGCAAAGGATGGGTGGAAATCAAAAAATGCCTCAGGGAGAGATGACAGAAAAAGAGCGAAAGAAAGAGTTATGGAGAAGAAAATTGCGGTTGTGGTAAAACAGCAGTAGATAGGGTTTCACGTCTATGCCGTAGAGGCAGAGAAAAAGAGTCACCGATTTTGTGTGTATGTGTGTGCAGAAGGAGCTTTTGTGGTGTTGATGGTGGTTTTGCAAAGCAGAACTGAGAGTGGTCAGATTTATTGTGACAAATGAGAGGGAGAAGATAAAAAAAAGAAGGAGGGGATACTGCAGAGCAGTATGATAGATGGAAGGAAGGAACAAAAAAACAAAGACAGACCATCAAATGAATGGCAGAACATAGAGAGAGAAAGGAGTCATTTCTAAGAATAATTTAGTGAGAGGTTTGTGTTGTCAGCCTTGCACCACACAAGCCAGACAATCTTCTGTTCTCTTACGTCAACGTATAGACTTACAGTACTTATACTAGTGTGAGTGTGTGTGCTGTTTAAGGAATCTTAACTGACAGTTGAGAACTGCTTATTAAGACCAGAAGGTCTTGGGGTTACACTGACATACCCCACTGCTGACGTGTCTGTGTGTGTGTGTTTGTGCTTCTGTTTGATCTATCATACACTGGTCGCATGCTGCTGTGCACCAAGGTCAGTCTGAGTGCAGCATCTATCATCTTAGTGTTGAGGGTTTATGTTTGTGTGTGTGTGTGAGTGTGTGTGTGTGTTTGTGTGTTTTCTCGCCAACCGGGTAAAACGAGAGGTGTGGCACAGCTTCAGAGTGCCAGCTCACTGCCTCAGCCCACTCTGTCACTGCCACTATAGTTAGCCTATAGCATCTCAATCTTGCTTCCTCAAACTGTTGCACTGTTAAATATTACTTACTTTTCCAGTCTGCAGTGAAGCAGCTGTAGAACAAATTGTAATTATATTTAAAAAGAGGAGATGCTTAGATGTGGTTATTGTAAGTCCAGTATTGGCTCTACTTACAGACAGCATTGGAAGTTAAAGCTACAGTGCGGGACTTTTACATATAAATATAAACATCTGTTACATTTAAGCCCTTGCCAAACTAGTTCACACAATGCTAATTAAGCCTATCACTGCCAGGTAAATCTCTCTGTACAGTATACCTGAGCTTTTAAATCTGGCGAACCATTATCGATGTGTTTTATACCAACCAGCAATGATTGGTTTGCAACAGCTGAAGGCTAACAGCAACCGTAGCGACAGCAGCAACTCAGTATGGCAGATAAGCAGGTATCAGCAGGGTTGTGCGATTGCTCTGCAGGGTAAAGTGTGATGTAAAAGCCTATATGTGTTACTGCTAATTAGTATGCTAATGTGGTAGCTGGGAAGGACTGATAGTGTTGCTTGGTGGGTTGAGCAGCATGCTGACAGTGATGTTAGCTTGACATTTTGTTAGCTGGTTGTTGTCAGCTAGCAAAGTGAATATAACTTGCAACAGTAGGCCACCGCAAGGCCTAATGGACCGGTCAAAACATAATTTAACATGAATGCTGGGCCTCCATAGGAATGCCACTGTTATCTTTTGCAATGTCATCTACATCTCATTTCTTTTCTAACCTTTAATGTTTTTTTTTCCTGTTGACAGAAACCACCACTGTACCTGACACCATGACCCCCACCCTGCCCAGACAAGAACAAACGACTGCTGCAATGAGACCCGGTAAACACACACACACACACACACTCCACACTCACTCATGCAGATTTCTTGCAAGCACGCAAGCATTAATTTTGTCTCTGTCTCACGTCCACACACACACTCTCGCTCTTAAGGTCAAACTCATGATGTCATCGCACACCACTGGGCCTCTGGGCTTTGAAGTCCGTTAGATTCAAGAGTCCCACAGGAAGCTTGGTTTGAGTGAAAATAAGCTCTCACAGCCAGAGGACCTCACCTCCTCGTGCACACACACATTGGGAATATGATTTCACAGCTATAGGTCAGCGACTGTCGGGAAAGTAGCCTTACTGGAGTAAATGTATCGTGATGTAGTTTAAGAAGGTCCTTGTTAATCAATTTGGTTGCTACATAACTGAATGCATTGACTTAAACTGAATACAACATCAGGAATATCAAGTGTATTTTATAATGCTCATTGTCATGTATTGTTTCTTATTTATGTTTTTTTCTTCTCAGGTCTCTCCTTTTGATTTGTATCTTCACCCCCTTCCGTGCACTGCTTTCTTTCTATCCATTTTCTGTCCATGTTCTTTTTCTTTTATCCACCCCACTGATTCTTCTGTCTCCACATGATCTCTCTTTTACTCTAATATTTGTATTCAGCATGCTTTATTGAGATGTCATATTACATGAGCACTATTGCCAAAACATCTAAACACAATGGGAATCTCTCTGAAAACACTATTAAAAAAAAAGAGGAGCGCGTGCTCCTCTTTTTTTTAATAGCATTAAGTCTCATAATAGGATGATAAGAAACTGAGAAAAAAAAAAGGTTAGATTTGATATGGTGCTAAAGCACACTAAAAGAAAAATTGATAATCCGTTATATTTACTGGTCAAACCAGATGCGCTACCAAACGTCTTTATTCACAATCCGTGTGTCTCTTTCACGACCCACAGCCACCACTCCGTCCCTGTCGGCTGTATGTGACTTTGAGCAGAGCTTGTGCGGCTGGTCGGCTGATCCCCAGTCAGGTGTGAGCTGGTCCCTGCACACAGCCAGCAGCAGTTCAACTGGACACGGCACGCATGGAACGAGGCAGGATTTGGCGCTGGGATCAGACAGTGAGTGCTTATTTGTTACAGTGCACACATACATTGCATTTTATAACAAGACCCTATCTAAGTAATGTAAAATATCTTGAGAAATATTTGTTGTTTGTTGTTTTTATATCGTGTTGCTGCAGTTTCAGTTTGTCATCATTAACATAAATGCAGTATGTTTAGTAGAGTTTAGAATCTGTACTGTTTTTTTCTGGATATACTGTATTGGCATATGTCACTGAGCATTTTAGGAAGGCTTACATCAACTTCTTGTAGGTTATGTCTGATCAATAATCCAAACTCTGCCAACAACAGTGCTTTCCATCTTTTAAAAAGCTCCACAGTGTGAGAACCCGTAAGGACATGTCTGGGCAGGTCTTCTCCTCTAATTTAACATTCAAACTTTCTGAAAACTTTGTGTTCCCATTAGAACCACACTCAGTTCTCTTATTTCTGGGCATTCTTCATTTCAAGACATTTCTCATTTTTTAAACACAGAAAAGAAAGCATCATAACGCTGAGATGTTTGACCTTCCTCAGCAGAAAGGCTTCATTTGCTAATTAAGAGCAAAGCGGTTGTCCTGTGGTGGAATATTACAGATTCCAGAGCTAGGAGGAATCACTGACAGCTACTATGATGCAAGGATTTCACTCTGATCTGCTAGCAGTGTGCACAACGACTTAATTGGAGTTTTAACAGTTGTACTTTCCCTAACCTAGTTTGATACTTTGTTGTCTTTTTTCTTTGTTTTTTCCTTCTTTTTCTCTTTTTCAGCCCCCTTTTTAATCCACAAATTTCTTTGTCTCTTCTTTGAGTTTTACTCCTTCCCCACAGTTTCTTCTTTTCACTTTATGTCTTGCTTGCTCCTTCCTTATACTGCAATGACCTTACTTCAGCCTCCTTGTTTGCTCTTTCTCTGTCCTCTTTATTTTCCTTTTATGTCACTACAATCATCTTGTTTCTCCTTGTTAACTGTATCATATTTCATTCTGTTCTTCCTCTGTTCGTCATCCATCTCTTTTTCAGTTCTAAGTCATACTACAGTCATGTCACTTTCCACTTCCAGCCCTCTCACTCCACCACTGCGATAACTTCTTACTCTCTTTGCTGACCTCTCCCCCATTTCCCTCAGTGGTACTTGCCTTTTTCCACATCTGTCCACCTTTTTAATAAGACAGCAGGAGGAGAACCAAGACTGTTTTATCCATCACACTTACACACACACACCTTCCCTACCTCACGCACACATCGCCCAGAGCGGTCAGATAAGTCAGATGATGGCTTTGACAGAAGTGCTGCCTTAGCTCTCCAGCACCCCTGGAGGCTCCACACACACACACACACTCTTACACAAACCATTCAAGGTGGGACTGTCCGCCTATTAAACACTCAAGGTGTGTGGGTTTGTTTCCCACACACACACACGCGCACACACACACACACACACACACACGACCTTGCCATCCACCAAGGTTTTCTCTGTATCTGTTGAAGCCATCCAGTTTATGGTTGACTGAGCACCTCCTTCATAAACCGACAGGGCCGTGACATAAGGCAAGGCTCTACATCACATTAGGCTGCTGTGTGTGTTGTGTGCAAGCCAGCAAATGCCAAGAGTATGTGCCGTTATGAATGTGCTTCTGTGCGTGTATGAGTGTGTGTAATTGATATAGCAGCGTCCCTGTCTCTGTGTTAGACAGCAACATGACATTAAGTCTTGTTCTACAGAAACATTAGTGCGGCACCCTGTCTGGAAGCTGTCTCAATATGCAAATCAAATCCCCAACCCTTGTCATTGAAAGCCCTTTAGGGTGTTAAAAGAGAAAATCCGACCTGAACAGAGCTCACAAGTTATTCTTTTGATCTCAGATAGGGCAAGTCTGAAATTCTATACCCTGTGGAGATTTTCATCGAAAGAAACCCTTCACGCTGTTTGTTACTGTGGTTTAGTTATTGATAAAGAGAGGAATTAGGGAGGTTTGAAAGAAGGGAAGAAGAGACTAAAACTGGCATCATAATATCTAACACCTGATTATATCACTCAGATGTTTTGATTTATTTTTCCATGAGCTTCTCTTCACAACCTGAACTCAAAGCTTTGGCCAGTTTTTGAAGATTTATGCTGAAAGAACAATATAATTCTCTAAAAGCAGATATTTAATTATGTAAACTATATTGAGTCTGACAGAGTTAAAGGGTGCTTTCACACCTAACTGGTTCAAACCATCTGTTTACCAGTTATTTGGATCCTGGTGTGGACTAAACCACCGCTCTGCCACTTCTTGAAAAGGTGTGTCTCAGTCCGTTTCCATGTGAACATTGTGATGTGAATGCAAATCAGGACCAATCAGGATGGTGTGAAAGTAAATATGTGATTTTGGAAAGTCCTGAAAAACTAAACTTCTATCAAATTGACTTGATTCATGTGTTGATCGTAGGAACCGTCAAGGAAGAAATCTGTTGAGCAATCTGCATGTTGTTATGCATGATTATTCAGTAACCATGGAAATCTGTATTGGAGTGAGTGCAGCTCAGTTTAACTAGGAAGCTTTATTGAGTCTACTAGATGCTATTTGGTTGTTTTATGGTGATTAAGAATGTTAGGAATCAGTGTGCCGCATAATTTTTTAAAAAACGGTGTAGCTATACTTTTTAAGTGACGTACTGTAGTTCACTATACACTGCATCTGCACTTCTTTGCTCACCTTTGCCACTCAGCGCTGTGTGGAAGTGAAGATTTATACACACACATAGACAGCACAGACATACAGTATATCTCTACATTTAAACATAAAATACACACACATAGATACTGCACATATCTGCACAACTGGAAAACGATTAAGTCGTATGTTTACAATGACTGACAGATGAACACACACACACACACACACACAGTAGATATAAACATAAACCATAAACAAACTAACTCTCATGCAAACAGACACCAACACGCACATACACACATTTCCCTCCCTCCCTCAGAGCCAATTCTACATCCCTGCCTATCTCTCCCATGGAGAGTTGTTAATTAATTCCCTCCCTTTGTACGTTCGCCAAGATCAAACGCGGCGAGACAGAAAAACACTGCAACTTTCTCTAACTGTACTTAATGAGCAACGGTAATTTAGGTCCCCTTTTTCATTGCCTCCAAGTGAAGAAACAGAGATACCTCAACCCAAATCCATAATTCATGTGTGATGTGCTGCAAAATCTGAAGGTTTTTTTTTTCTGTCTTAGCTGGAGGAGGGAGAACAGAGGTGAAGATAGATGATAGACAGACAGACAAACAGAGGTTTTTCTTTTGTCTCCTCTCATCTTTCGTCTCTCTTTCTCTCTCCTTATGAGGTGTCACACACAGTGTCTGTCTGTCGATAAAAAGACTATTTGCAGCTCCAGCGAAGCTTTTACTCTCCGGCCATAATAGACAAACTAGACAAACAGCCAAACACAGCAGCAAGCTAATGATAATGGTCCTGTTTGGGGTGGGTATAAAACCATAGCTCTGCTGTTCTTTCTCTCTCTCTCCTGTCATGTTTGCTCACTCTTTCACTCAGTCACCCTTTCCTTCCCTTTACCTCCATCGCTTTCTGCTCATCAATTCTTTGAGCTGAGTGAATTAGATTTTTTTTGTTGATAGAGCGAGTGTGTATCGAAGACTCATTATGCATACACGCGTACGCGCACACACACACACACACACACACATGCACTACATGTGCACAAACATTGTGACTGTGTTGGTATGATGGCTGTGCTGACTAAGTTACAAAATGAGGAAAGCAAGAGAACGAGTTGTCAGCATTCAGAATGATTAGGGCTATTTAACAGGATTGTGTTCATTTGTAGCCATAGCCATTAGCGGCCATGATGAAATGGCAGTCTGATTTGCGGTTAAGCCTCATACCACAGAATGATGGTGCTAATGCCTTAAACTCTAAGCAACCACATCCCACTGCATTACTATATCATACTGTACATTGGACCAAATAGGGAATCTGCTTTCTGCAGCAGTGCTGTCACGCACCATAAATTCATTAAAATCGAATCCATTAAATCAATAAAATGCAAAGACAAAACCTTGTATGTGGCTTCATATTTACAACTTTATGCTGAAAAGAGTGGCGATGTATCAGTTTAAACGCATTTATCATTTGTCCCAACTGATTAATCTGAAACATATCATTGATCTTACAGTAAAACAATAACGTAGCATGTGCCACCTCTCTGTCTCTTCCTTTCCTCCAGATTTTTCGGGGAACTACCTCCACCTGGATGCGGGTGCACACACCCAGCGCAAGCGAGCCCGGCTGCTGAGCCCTGAGGTGGGGCCGGAGCTAGGCCCGCTCTGCCTCCTCTTCTACTACCAGCTCCAGGGGGAGGCACAGGGGAGCCTGAGGGTCCTGCTGAAAGACAGTGACCAAGAGGAGACGCTGCTATGGGCTTTAAAAGGAGACCAGGGGTCTCACTGGAGGGAGGGCCGCACTATCCTGCCTCAAAGCCCCAAGGAGTATCAGGTAAGTGTTGTTTCTTAACCGACCGCTGCATCCTTCCTGTTCATTAACCACTGAGTTTAGTAAAAAGCCTATTGTAAAATCTCTCTCTTTTTCTATCTTTTAGGTGGTGTTCGAGGGTTTTTTTGATCACCCGACCAGAGGCCACATCAGAATAGATAACATCCACATGAGCAACAGCATGGAGCTGGAGCAGTGTACTCGTAAGTCCCATAACCGGTCTGTCTACCTGTCTGCCTATTTATCAATACGCCAGTGGGCTTTATTATTCAGTCAGTCTATCTGTCTAACTATCTATCTGCCTGACTCTCTTACTCCTTCACCGTTAATGCTGTGTTTTCACCAGAGACTGGTTGAGAGAGAAACTCATAATGTTTACACACATAGACACACACGTACACATAAAAAAGAAAAAATATATAAAAAATGAAAGTAGGCCACAAACGGCCTTTGGGCATGGATTCTAATCTATCTTTCATATCTCCTTCTCTCTATCTCCTTCAGTATTTTCCTATAGCTCCCCACCCCACCATTTATGATTCCTCTCCTTCCTTCTCTCGTTATCTCAGGCTGGGCCGTCGCTGGGCCATAGAGCACCAGAAAGAAACGCGTATGCATGATTACTTGAGAGAGCAACCTGTCGCTATTCTGTGATTAAAATGCTTGTCTTTTAGTTTTTCTCTTTCTTTCTTACACACATTCACACACAAGCTGGCGATTGAGACTGTTATTTATAACTATTGGCTTCAATAAAGGAGGCTTTGATATTACTGTAACAGAAAAATGCAGACTCACTTGAAACACACAGACTAGACACATGATTGAGTTTGAAATCCTTCAGAGGTTTCAAATCCAATCCAAATCCACTGCTGCTTTCATTCTGACCATTTTTATTTCAAGTGCTCTCCCACAACATTAAGGATGTGCATTCATAACCTTCAGGACTATCTCTTTAATAATCTTTAAATTAAACAGTGTTTTGCCCTCAACACTTGCCATATATTTGGAAAGACTGTGTGTGGGTTTAACTGATTAGTGTTTTATAGAATATTATCATTAGTTCATGTTTGGCCCTAAATGTGCGCTCTGGCATGTTCAATGTTATCTCTCTTTCTGTGGGTCAAGTGTGATGTCTCAGATAAAAATAATGTAAGAGGGCTTTTATCTGGCACTACATGTTTAGTCCTTTCTCACAAATGTGTTTCCGCCAATGTCTTTTCAGTTTTTTAATCACCCACTCCCTCATTCCTTATCTTATGATATTTTTCTTCCGTCCATTGACTCTCAGCACCCGGCTGCAACTTCTTTACTTGTGCTACAATTCTTGTTTTCCCTCAGTTTTTCTCTCTTTTTTTCCTTCTTCTCTCTTCTTCTCACTTTCATAATAGATGTCATATCCTCCGGCAAATAATAAAAAACAGCAGTAAATTTCAGTCCCCGTTCCCATGACCCTTTAACTTACCTCCACCCTTCCTTCCCATTCCTCTATGTTCCTTCTCTTCTCCCTTCCCTCTCTCCTTTCACCCCCATTTGCCATCAGTTCCCTCCTTTCTTCTCCTCGACCCAGCTTGTCTGCTGCCATTAACACCTTGCGTCTCACTTTAGGAAACGAGAGTTAGACAGCAATGACAGGAAAGAGAGACACAGAATGACAAAGCAAAAAGAAGAAATTGAGAGCAAGTCAGAAATGACCCAAAGAGACAGAGAGAGTGACAGGGGAGGCCCACTTCCTCTCTTCCAACCCTGTCAGCCCATTCTTTTGTCTTCCTCGCTTTATTTCCTCTCCATTTTATAAAAATGACTGTCATCCAGGAAGATTTATGGGCCTTTAGACTCCCACACCATCCCAGAACTTGACAAATCTTTATTGATTTTCTGAAATTGGAGTAACAAGTGCCTTAGCAAGAAGTGCAGCGTCCTGCAATTTTGCAATTTACCTGTTTTAAAAATGCATTTCAGTTCATCAGAAATATAGTTGTACCATGTCAATTTAATCATGCCAATATGCCGCAGTACACTGACGCTGTAAAAATCCCAAAGATGGTATATTTGGTATCATATTTAAAGTTTTAAATTTAATCAAAATCACATCTAGACAAATATGTATTAATCATGCTCATATTTTATCCTCTTAGTTTAATTCATTTTTAATGAGTGATGCTGACATATACTGTATAATGATGTAGGCACCACTTTTACGTTGAAAAGATTAAAGTGATTGGCCAAATAGCGTTTTACTTCTATTTAGCTATACTATTTCATTATATTAATCACAATATTAACAATTTAAAAACTCTACCTTAAAGGTGCTAGAAAACTTAAACTACAATTGATCTATTGTTCTATCAGTGTGGCCCTCTATCCTTTCATTGCCTTTATCATACATATCACTAACCATCATCAATAACAGTTCTTTTTTTTCCTCTCTTTTCCAGAGCCTTTCCCCGCCTTAACACCCGGCATAACCAGTAAGTTCTACTTCCTGTTCCATTTGTACTTCCTGTGCGAAATGTCTGTGCTTTCTGCTTGTTGCTAAGCTCAGCTCGCAGCACTGCACTGGCCCTGAGTAACCATATTAGTAACCTTGTTAAATCCAACCATGGTTTCTTACATGTATAGCACTTTGTGTGATGTGTTCACATAATTTGCTGAATTTTAGACTAGACTTTATTCACATTTTAAAAAATGATGGCGACAACACTACAACCTGATTGAATGGATCCACTGCATTGTTCCAGCATGACTTCCTGCATGCTGGGCTGATACTCTTGGTTATATAATTTAGTATGTTCCTTGGTGAGAAAATTACAGTTTCCACTATGTAGACAAATAGTAATACATGATTATTTTGTACAACAGCAACAGACCCTGCAGGAGCAACATCTGCAATTGCAATGTAGTAACATTGTGGTGTATTTGCGCATTGCACAAGCTGACTAATTGTGTGCACCATGTTGTGTGTAATCTGTCGCTGGTATACATGTATACAGCACAGTTGTTGAGTCTCAGTACATGCATGTGCCTATAGAGTGCGCAGACCCACAGGCAATTACCGTGTTCATTTTTTGTTGCTCGTATGGCAAACAACTTAAGATTACAAGGTCATGGCTGAATCAGATGAAGTCTCTGGTCTTTTTCTCTGGTCATCAAATTATAAAAAACAAAGTGGAACTCGGTTCTCCTGTCCTTAACTTTTGCTCTCTCTGGCCAACCCTCACTACTTTCTAACTGTAGAGAACAGCACACTCACGCCTTCTCCATTCCTCCATCCTGATTTGCTGTCACCATATAAGCTCTTTCTATCTGCACTCAACACCATACAAGGATCCTATTTTTTCCATCTCTTCTTATATTTGGCTCCTCCCTCTTCTCTGATTCTTTTCTTTCATCTCAACTATTCTTTTTCATTCCCTTCCTTGCCTTACCTTTTTTCCTCTCCTCTCCTCTCCTCTTCTCTCCTTATTACTGCTGCTGCTCCCACCTGAACGGTATGCAGAGCTGGTCACCATCCAACTTCCCCGTTCTCTTTTTCCTCTTTCTTTTCCCTCCTTCATCCTCAAATAGGCTATTCTGAAAGCAGATAAAAAAGGGCTTAGACAGATTATGCTCCTGGATCTCTTGTTTTCAAAGTCTAGGTTGGGACCTAAAACGCTGGCTGCAGGACTGCTTTTGTTTAGAGACCCACAAAATATGAACAAAGGAGCCTGGGCCTCAGGTTATTAAAACCATTAGACCACTCTGAGTTATATATAAAGACTTTTATGATATGTAGATGTTTTATGCATTTGGTGATTAGTGTCCACATTGATCATGGACGGGTTAAAAACTGGAGCACACATCTAGTTACTTTTATTCACTGTAGGTGTAAGGACTTGTGGTTTTTAACAAGAATAATTGCCAACCATTCAGTTGTTTGGCATCAATTTTTCCGATTCTGTGTGCTTAATTAAGTCTATTCATTGTGTGTGTGTGTGTGTGTGTGTGTGTGTGCGCGTGCGCGTGTTCTCAGTGTGTGAATAGATGAAAAACATTCTTTAAATACCGTCAGATACTTGAGCAGCACTTGGTTTTGTTCACCACAGTTCAGTTCAATAAAAACATAAATACCATTCCCAAAACCGGTAAAAGCCAAGAGCCAAACTCCTCTGAAAACTCTAGTCACCTGACTCATACGCTAAGTATCTGACCCAGTGCTTGCAGGTTTCTTAGATTATTAGAAGCTGAGCAGGTATCATATGACTCCCACAGTGTCTGTTCTGTGTTTTCATGAGACTGAGCCCCAGGAAGAAGGGTAACATTTCGCCTTTGGGACGTCTGTTGAAAAGTGAGCTAAATATTTCTCTTTGGGTGAGCCGATGTAGTTGAACCCTATTCAAGACTTACTGCATATATTATACAGTTGCTATAAGAATTTTTTTTGTCTTGTTAGTGTGTGGTCAGCTGGGTTTTTATGAAACTTTTAAAATCCACTGTATATCTATGATGAAGAACAGGTCATCTCTGGTCAATTAACTGTACAGACATCCTGCATGTGAAAAGGAGGTTGAAACTTTTGGATTTTGTGTGATTAAGGCATAAACAGAAAATTATTTGGAGGATGATATAAATTTCATTAATTTGAATCAAAAATCCAGGTTGACTTCATCCCTTGTAAGGAAATGTGAGGAGGAATATAATGACTTAGGGAAACCAAACGGATGTCTCAACTGATGATTTTGCAATTTGAATTGCAAGTGCCCAGTGGGGGAAAAAAACTAATCAAAATATATTAGATAAATAAATTAACTGATCTCAAAATCTCACATGAAGGGTAAACTTCATGAGAACTGGAGAATTTTAAATGTCCCTCCTTAATTATAGCCTAATGCCATGATCCTTAGTTAGCAGTGCAGCTTCATTGTGGTGTGATGTGAACCAGTGAGCCACAGTGTTGGGTTTTTGTATCCATGGCAACCAAGGAGGCACTTGGCCTCTGGAAAGAGATCACGCTACATAGATGCACACGCACAGAGAAAGAAGAGAGGCTAATGCTGGCTTCAATTTGGACTCACACTTTCAACTCCACTTTTTAAAAGTGTCTCATTGCTGAGATGAGACTGTTGATGTGCGAAGACCTGGAAGGAGAAAGATAGTAATTCAGTGAGTCAGAAACTCTATTAAGCAAAGTTCCTTGAAAGCCACACTTTTTAGCTCACTTTAGGAGTGGTGCTCTTGAGAAACTTTCCCCTTTAGATCCCGTAAGTAACGGTCAATTTTTGCAGCCCTAGAAATCATCTGTGTCTTAATCCACTGGTGGGAAGGCTCTCTGTGCAGGCTGCTTAGAGCACAGCTTTACAATCAAAGCCAATTTTAAACCCTTAAAGAGTACGTCTGAACTTTAAAAAAAAAAAAAAAAAACAGACAAAATTAAGCTCACTGGTTTCCTTGAGGTTCTGCGTCTTTCTCTACACCTCTCTTTCCTCTGTCCTTTGATTATTTCTCTCTTCTCTCTCGTCTCCATGAAGTTCTTGCTTGCCCTGGCTCCGTTTCCTCTTTCTTTCCTCCTTTCTTTCTTGCTCGCAGGTTTTCCTTTTTTTCCTTCTCTCACATTATTTTTCTCTTTCTCTCTTTCTTCTTCCACAACCTCTCTCTCAGCGGGTTTCTTTCACAGTGAGTTGACAGAGTATTGAAGTTTCAGACAAACCCTCTAATGCAGGATTAAAGATATCATGGCAGGATTAGCTCTCTCCCTTCACTTCCCCTCCCTCCCTGCCTCGCTCCTCGCTTTCTACCACCCCTCTCTATTCCACTCCATTCTTTCTTCCAATAATGCCTTCTCTCTTATCCTTTCTCTACCCCTGTAATTTCTCTCAGATTTCCCCTCTTCCCTCTCCATCTCTTTCTCCCTCTACTCAAGTCCCTTCAATGTGATCTTGCCCTGATAAAAGCTGCTGCATCCTACAAAATACAACCACTTAACACTCCCCACCCTTTGTCCAAATCAGCAAATCAGTCACTGCATAATCAAAGGCTTTGCATTCTCTGATCGAAATGAACGCATGGCATGAGCCTTTGCGTGTCAATGTGCAGCTAATGCTTGTGACATATATATCAACCAACAATTCTGTGAGTACAATCAGCATCAAAACATATGCATCAGCTTTTGTTTTGAAGAATGAAGACTTCAAATGACTAAGAGTGTGCAACTGGATACTAGGAAAGTGAGCAAAATCAGAAGGCTTACAGTCTGTTTTTGTGGCTGCTGTTTACTTACTAATATTAGTTACTAATATTAGCAAGGCACAATCATTTCAGCTCAATGCTACAGTCATTGACCATTTGCTCCCACCACCCTTAGTTACCCGTACTTGGCCTGTCAAGCTTTCCATTCTCACACTGCATTTATGCAGTTTGCATTGATGATGATGGCAGATTTTATAGTCGACATTCTTGGTAATAAATGACACAATAGATCCTTGATTTTAGACCGAGGTAGACAATAGCAGGCTTCTCATTTCTACCTGGCTCTCATCAATTTTGACAGCTCAAATGGCAGATTTTATCAGCGGTTGCTAGTTAGCTATATTAAAGTTGGTTGGCTCACTTTTTAATGTTTCCTGCTGACTCATTTTTTAAATCAGAATTCTGTAAAGGGGGTCAAACATGCACTTGATGGCAACATACATGCTATTTTGCTAAAACACTTTACAAAAAGTAAAATATCAGTGCTAGTATTATATATTAGTGAGAAGTATATGAAAAAATGTAAGGTCAGACTTGGTTTGTTCTAATATAACCCTGTTTTGCTGCTTAGCTTTACAGTACATACTTGTTTGTAACAGCATGTTTGAAACCCCACAGTAGTTTTACATAGCTGATATTAATGATGTGCTCCTTTGCATTGGCAATCATGCTTGCTGACGGACTTGCTAACGATTGCAGTTTACGATAGAGCAGATAAACACGTTTAATCCATTCCTTACACGTTTCATTTTGTATTTTTTGGTGCCAAAAATACAACACCCTCCAAACTCTTTAAATGCTTAGTATCGCTCTTATTAAAGTCCCACACACACTATTCAGCATGTAGAGAAATCCAAAGCTTGACAGACCTGCAATGCCTAGTTATAAGCTAGAAATTGACAACGACTGTCTGGGGTAGGGGTTTAGCGAATGGTCAATTAACAACTTTTAATACTCCAATGAGGTCTGCATGCCTGCCTACCTCATCCATAGTGCCAACCAGTAATGTGTCCTCCTGCCCTCCAGGGGGTGCCATGTCTGGGATGGAGCCCACAGTAGACACAGTGGCGGTGCAGCCCATCCCTGCCTACTGGTACTATGTGTTGGCGGGAGGCGGTGCCCTCTTGCTGCTGGTCACTGTAACCGTGGTGGTGATACTGTGCTGCCATCGGTACCACTGGGCGACCAAGAAGACCAGCGGTAGTCATCATCATTCAGTGACTTACCACACCAGCCAGCACCCAAA